ACCATAGACAGTAGAACAATTTAGATTTAAGAATTCCATGTATTTTTATATGAACTCCAGGGAAATTTGTTAATTAAAAAACAAGTTTAAATTCCAAGCCACCATTTGTGTGATAAGTAAGAGAAATTACATTTTATTTTTAAATTTTGGACTCCTACAGCAGTTAAAATAGGCATTCCTCTGTGTTTGAGATGTTTATAGCCATTAAGTTGGAAAATTCTGAGGAATTTTAAAAACCCACTGATTCAGAAATTGTCTTCTAGTGGAAACTGTTAAGCAGTTACACACATTCTTTTCAATGTTGGACTTACAGAGCCAGACAAAAACACTTTTTACTTTTAGAACTGTGCAAAGGCACCTAAAAACAATATAGACTTAATCTTCGCTCCAGACAGGGAGGAGGGAGCTAGGCAGAGGTGGTGGTGTGGTATGAAGGAGATACACTGCTAATTGCAAGGCCAAGCATCTCCCATGTTCAAATCCACTAGCAGACCCTCAGGAGAAGGGTGGGCAGTTCCCTTCCATTACCTTTTCCTGCCTTGGAAATCCAATGGGATGTCGCTCAAGGCAGTGGTTTTTGTAGGAGGACAAAAACTCAGGCTGAGGACCACACACAGTCCGTGTCCTCATGTGTCTCAGTGAATGTACTCTGTGGTCCAAATGGTCAGTGAGATGAATGGGAGTGGAGACAGAACGTCTGCGCCGTTTGGAGGCAGATAGATGATGGTGGTCTGCAAGGCAGTCAGGACTTGGGCGTGCTAGATGCTTGGTCCTCGGCTGCTCAGATGGAACGATTCCTCTCCACACCACACCTTGAACCTTCACAGTTGCTTTCTATGCTTCAGAGAGCTGGACAGTGACTAAGGATGACAGATGATGAATCAATGCCTTCGTGTTGTGGTGCAGGAAGGATATTGAACATAACATATGCCGTCAAGAGAGTGGAGAGAGCTGTCCTAGAGAGAGAGTGAAACCAGGTTGCCCATTGGAGGTGCGGATTTTGGAATCCCATCTCATATACTTTAGACATGTTATCAGGTGGGGCAGTCCTTGGAGAAGAACATCACGGCTTGGACGTTTCCAGAGTCAGGGCAAGAGAGGAGGTTCCTGGATGAGGCCGATTAACCCAGTGACTGTGGTGGGGAGGTCCGGGGTGTCAGGAACAGTGAGTGGCTCAGAAAAGGGCCACTGTGAGTCGCAGTCCACTCGATGACACATGACAACACCACCTTCAACAAGTTGAAAGCCTTAAACCTGCCTAAATCAATGAGCCGAGTTCAGCGGTCACTCGGACCCCACAGGTGGCAGCAGCCAACCTGCTTTTGAAACAGATTTTTTACTTATTATATTCAGTGAAAAGTTAGTTACTTGTGATGGTAATATTATTCCATAATGCCCACATTTTACTGAATTTCCTTTCTTTTGGATGGGATTTCTTCTAATCTATTGACCAAGTTACTGGTCTTCCGAATGTCTTGGCACAGACATTCACACAGGTGAGTACCTCCAGTTCTACATCAGCTTCTTGTAACATTTTAACTCGCATTCATTCAATTCCTACAGCTTTGTTTCTCATCAAAGTTTTCAGTGCAGCATGAATTCCTTCTGTAAGTACAAAAGGTTCTTCATCATATATTTCCTCCTGCACTGGCTCAAGTTGAAGAGTTATTTTTGGTACAGTAACTGTATTTTACTTCCATCTTCTTTTGCCTCCGGTGTTATTTAATTCTTTTCGCTTCCAACAAGCCTCTGGAAACTCTATGAACTTTGAGAAGCGATGATAGTTATAGAAAGGCTTCAAGTCTTTTGCTCATAGGGTCGCTTGAGTCGTGCTCGACTCGATGGCAATCAACAACATAGAATCCATCACCAGTGCAGCTTGCAGCCTGAATTTTTTTTTCTTCAGCTCTTCCAGCTTAAGTCATGCTGAATGTGTTCTTTGCTTTCAGTTTTCTACCTTGAGGTCTATACATCTATTGTTAGAATACTTATTTTGTTTTCTAAATGGGCTTTTAAAATCTCCTATTTGGCTATCTTATTTCATTATTTCTTCTTTCCCCGTTCACTATTTTCCATTCTAATTTTAAATCTGTTTAGACGTCCATTGTAGGTTTCCCTTTCTTTCTAATTTTTGCTTTTTTATTTATGACATTCTTACACAGTTCATCTGCCTTCAGTTATTAGTGGTGATTTTCTTCCTGAGATGATCTCTTAATTCAGGTCAAGAACTTACTTAGACTTTCATGTACTTGTTTGACAATTCTTTAGCATCAACTTGAACTTTCATCTAAGCAAGTGATGGTCTGTTAGTCATTAGTGTGAAAATTTGAGAAGTAGTATTATTAATAAGTTTAGGAATGAATAAGATATCATCCTCTTCAATTGCCATTCCTGACATTGTAGACCATATAATTAAGTAAAAATGACCACTATCAGTCCATTTCAGTTCAGTAATGCCTACGGTTGGTCTGTCTTCAAGCATTCCACCTCATTATTGACTGCTTGATTAGTGGTCAGCAGCGTTCCTTTATTAGCACTTTGTATATTGATTATTATTGATGTTTGCAGTTACTTCCTTTCCTTTAGAGTTGTGTTACATCAGCAAATGTGGGTCCTAATAGCTTTATTCTGTCCACATCATTATGGTTGACGGTACCTTGAGGAGACAACTCTTTATGGTTTATAATTTGAACGCCTTACAACGTGCAGAATGGATCTTCCAACACAATACTGCACAGTGTTTGCTGCTATCTATAAGATTTTTACTGGCTATTTTCCCCACAAGTTTTACCACCAGATCCTTCTTCCCAAACGGAATAATCTGGAAGCTCCATTGAAACCTACCAATCATGGGTGACCCTGTTTATATTTGTAATACCAGAAGCAAATAAAAAAAAAAAGTGTCATACTGATAACGGAAAACAGTCCATGGATCTTGAGAAACCTTTTTTTTTTTGCAATAATTCTGTCCTGTAGTGGTTTATTGGATGCTACTGTATGTCTTCCCTTGAATGACTGTTTTAACATTTCTTTAAAAGTGTTTCCAAAAAGACAAATACTGCATGGTGCCACTGTTGTACTATGGGACTGACATCGGGGTTGGGGTAAGACTGAGAAAAACTGGATAAATTATGTATACTGCATTAAAACAGATGAGGGAGAGAACAGTTTGAAAGTGATATATGATAGGAGGTAAGGATTCTGAGGCTCAGTCTAACATACTTTGGACATGTTGTAAGGAGAGACCGGTTCTTGGAGAGGGACATCATCCTTGGGAGGGTGGAGGGACAGCGCAGGAGGGGAAGGCCCTCTTTGAGGTGGATTGATTCAGTGAATGGGGTAATCGGGATGGGAGTGTCAGAGGCAATGCAATTGGCATAGGACAGAGCAGAGTTTAGGGCTGTTGTACACAGGGTCGCTATGAGTCACAAGCGACTCGACGGCACATAACAACAACAACAACAACAACATTATGGTTATCACTAAGGGTCCAGAATTAAGGTTGCATAGTGGAGTGTGCTGGGGCAGTGGGGCGGGGGGCACGGGGATTGTATACCAGTGAGGGAATTTTTCTTTTACTTTTCAAAGAGTCGAGTGAACTGTTGAAGGGGGGAGGGAGGTCAAGGAGAAAAGTGCAACAATGAATGAATGGAAATCCAAGGTCTCTGTTCATTAAAATGAATAAAATAAGATTGTAGAAAAGTGTTTCAGATTCCAAAGTTTTCATTTCAGATAGGATTTTCACAAGAACATGAATACCCTTTTGGATATAGCATAACTGTGTGATCAGTCAGCAGAAGTTTATGATTTCACCTGCTCTCTGTGAATAGGCCAAACACTGCTTCTTACGTGTGAAAAAGTCAAAGTGTCATCATCACGTTTCACATATCTCAGAGTTTACATTGACTGTGAAACTGTTTTCCACTGAGAACTCGGGCGTTATTTGTTCTGGATAATCAGACACAACCTATTAACACCTGCAAACAACTCTTTTACGTAGTTTGACATGTTGTCATTGTTAAGTACCATTGAGTGAACCCTGCTCTGTCTTGTAACAACATGGAACTCTTCACTAATTTGAATTTGTGTGTCATCCTTGCACAGGGACCACACTAATCATGGCTGTATCATTCTGGTTTTAGTATATGTGCAGCAGTTAGGAAATGTATTTCTCAAACAAGGTAATAGCATCTAATCAGAACAAAATGGAGATTTTGCTCACATGATTAGATGGGTGACCACAAAATATGTTTGCATTCAGTAGGTTATCTATTATTCAAAAACACTTCACATGTTATATACCCCAAGATTTACCATTCCACTGGGTGATGTAAAGAATATCTTTAAAAATATGTGAATGTTAAGCTATAATACTCTTCTCCAGTATTGAGAATCTATCCATGTAGCTTTTCAAAATCCAAACTTTTCATTCTGTTGATTTACTCTCATTTAACATTTTTAACGAATATGTTTCCATAACTAGACATTCATCAACTAAGAACTTTCCTACATTAGAAGATATAGCTTAACATTTATATATTTTTAAAGATATTCATTACTGGAGAAGAGTATGGAGAATACCATGGACTGCTAGGAAAACAAACAGATTTGTCCTGGAAAGGGTTAAACCGGGTGGCTCCTTGGAGGCTAGGATTCTGAGGCTCCGTCTAACATACTTTGGACATGTTGTGAGGAGAGACTGGTCCTTGGAGAGGGACATCATGCTTGGGAGGGTGGAGGGACAGCGCAGGAGAGGAAGGCCCTCTATGAGGTGGGTTGATTCAGTGACTGGGGTAATTGGGATGGGAGTGTCAGAGAGTACGATTGGCACAGGACAGAGCGGAGTTTAGGGCTGTTGTACATAGGGTTGCTATGAGTCGCAGGCGACTCGACGGCACATAACAACAACAAACATGGATAGATAGATGCTAAGATAGAAAATGTAGGAGTTGACGTGTATATGGCCTACTTATTCAAGGTTTGTTTTCTTTCCTTTCCAGCCAATGTTTTCAGTTGCACCAAGCTTAGCCACCAATGCATCAGCAGCCTTCAATCCCTACCTGGGACCTGTCTCCCCCAGCCTGGTTCCAGCAGAAATCTTGCCGACCGCACCAATGTTGGTTACAGGGAATCCTGGGGTACCAGTACCTGCAGCTGCTGCAGCTGCAGCACAGAAATTAATGCGCACGGACAGACTGGAGGTAGGAAGTGAAAAACTGGTTTCTTTCTTTTTTTATAAAGTTTTTATTTTGACACAAATTTCCCCCACACTTTCCTTCATTGACATTGTGTTTCATACAATCATTCTGATATGTTATAGTTTATAAAATTAATCACCATAGGACTATACCCACCATTACCTCATCTTTTCAGGTCCCCACTGGATTTTCTTCATTTCCTTTACCCGTTCCCTTCTCCTAACAAATTGTACAACTCTATGATTTCCCTCCTACTCATCTTCACCCCTCTGTTGCCACCCCTTTCCCCTTCAGACACCTATACACATTTTACTAGTTATCCTTCTGTTTTTATAATAATGGTCTCATGCAGTATTTGTCCTTATGAGACTGAATTAGTTCACTCAGCAGAATGCTCTTCAAGTCTCTCCCAAGTTTGTAGTATTTTTAAAAAGTGTTACTCTTGAGAGCTGTGTAATATTCCATTGTGAGAATGGACATTTTCTCAGTCCATTTAGTTGTGGTTGGACATTTGGGCGGTTTCCATATTCTTGCAATAATAACACTGCTGTGAACACTGGTGTACACATCTGCATTTATGTCTCAATTCCGATTTCCTTTGGGTGTGTTGCTAGTAGTGGAATAGCTAGGTTATATGGAGTTTATATGTTCAGCTTTTTGAGGACATTTTACAGTCCCACCAACAGTGTTTGAGTGTTCCCACCTCACCACATCCTCTCCAACATTTATTGCTTGCTGTCCTGCTAAACTTTGCCACTGCTACTGCAGTGAGATGGTATCTCATTGTAGTTTTGAATTGCATCTCTCTTATTTTAAGGATTTCTTCCCGTGTCTCTTGGCTATCTGAATGTCTTCCTCTGTGAAAAGTCTGGTCCATGTCTTTTGCCCATTTCGTAAATGGGTTACTAGTACTTTTCTTCTGGAGGCCCTCTAGTATACTGTAAACTTTTGTTATGAGACCCTTGTCTGGGCTGGTAATCCCAAATGTTTGTTTCCAGTCACTATGTTTTCTTTTCACTCTGCTGGAAAATATTTTTGTTGCACACCGGGATTTAGTCTTTATAAGGTCTCATTCACCATTTTGTCCTCTTTAGATTGTGCATTTCTGGCTATTTTGGGCAACCTCTGTATACCATAGAGTAGGGGTTCTAAGCTTGGTCCCATTATTGTCTCTTAGGAACTTTATGGTTTTAGGCTTTACTCCCAGGTCTCTGATCCACCTTGAGTTGATATGTGTGTGTGTGTGTGTGTGTGTGTGTGTGGTGTTTCTGCATTTATTGTGTAAGAGGTGAGATCTTTTCTTTGAAATCTTTCAATCATGGAAAATACAGCCTTACAACTACAAGGTTATTTTTCAGAAATCACAGAAATGTTACAACACACATTGTCTGGAGCAATGAAAAACAACAGAACTTTCCAGAATAATAAAAATATTCTACAATTCTTCACTGTGTGATGTGGCATTCAGTAGTCACTTATCACTATTATGTACTCAGAAAGGTAGATATTACAACTGAGAAACAAATTTTTAATTTTAATCAACTTAAAGGGTCACATGAGTCCCACATTGTTGTATGTAAGATGTGGATCCTATTTCAACTGTCATGAAGTAGCAGTCTAGTTTTGCCAGTACCACTTGTTGAAGAAGTTGTTGGTTCCCCATTTGGTAATTTTTTTCCCCCTTATCAAGTATTACTTGACTCCAGATCCATGAGTCCATTTCTGGGTTCTCTATTCTGTTCCCTTGGTCTATGTGCCTGTCATTGTACCATTGCCATGCTGTTTTGGTTATTACAAAGTAATAACCAAAAGTAGTAGGTTTTGAGATGAGGGAGTGCTATGCCTCCCACTTCAATTTTGTTTTTCAGTAGTACTTTGCTTATTTGGGGTCTCTTTCCTCTCCAAATAAACTTGACAATTTCAATTTTGATCTCTTTGAAAAATGAATGTGGTATCAATATTAAGTTTGAGTTGAACATGTAGATTGCCTTTGGGAGGATTGTCATTTTCACTGTTACATCTCCTTATCCACAAGTAGGGACATTTTTCCATTTATTTTAGTCTTTTATTATTGCTCACATAAGTGTTTTGTAGTTTGCTTTGAACAGGTATTTTGTGTCTTCAGTTTCATTCCCAGTTATCTCAATTTGTGGTTGGCTATTGTAAATGGTATTGCTTTCTTGGTTTCCTTCTCTGAGTTCTCTTTGTTCCTGTAGAAGAATTTGACTGGTTTTTGGATATTGATCTTGTATCTTGCCTCCCTACTAAGTTGGTCCACTAGATCTAACAGGAGTTTTTGGTGTTTTCTGTATACACATGCATATAGTGACAATTTAACCATCTCTTTGCCAAACCGAATCCCTTTTATTCCCTTCCCTTGCCAAATTTCTAGCAAGTACTTCCATGCAATATTGAATAAAAGTGCTGACACTGGGCATCCTTGTCTAGTCCCTGTTCACAAGGAAAATGCTTTTAGTCTTTCTCCATTGAAAAGTATATTGGTTCTTGGTTTTTAATAAATATACTTTTCACTATATTGAACAAATTCCCTTCTATTCCTATTTTGCTCAGTGTTGTAATCAGGAAGTGGTGTTGAATTTTGTCAAATGTGTTTTCTGTATCAATTGCTAGCATCATATGGTTCTTGTTAACTGCTTTGTTAATGTGGTGAATTACCTTGATTGTTTTTATTCTGTTGAACCATCCTTGCATACCACTTATGGATCCCACTTGGTCATGATGAATTACTTTTTGATGTACTTTTGATTTCTATTGGCTAGGATTTTGTTAAGGATTTTTGCATTTATGTTTGTGAGAGATACTGATCTGTAGTATTCTTTTTTTGATAATATCTTTGCCTGGCTTTGGTATTCATGTTTTGCTTGCCTCATAGAATGTTTCTGGGAGTGTTCTTTCTTCTATTCTTTTGAATAATTTAAGTAGACTTGGTCATAGATCTTTTCTGAATGTTTAGTGCAATTCAGACATAAAGCCATCTGGTCCAGGCAATAATATTCTGAGTAGAGGTTCTAATAGTGGCACAAATCAAGTTACAGAGGTAAGGTGGTTCTTTTTTTTTGGGGGGGGGGATCTTCTTATGAGGAGATCTTTTTATGACCTTTTCAATTTCTTCTTTTGTGATAGGTCTGTTCAAGTGTTCTAAATCTGTGTCAATCTGGGCAGGATATGAGTTTCAAGGAATTTATTAATTTCCTCTAGGTTTTCAGATTTATCAGAGTATAATTTTTCATAATATTCAGATTTATATTTAATTTCTCTGATTCCTTAACTGACTTATCTGTGTCTTCTCCTTTTTTCTTTCTTTCACAAATTTCCCAGCAGTTGTCAATTTTATTGAACTTTTCAAAAATCCAGCTCCTGCTTCTGTGGATGGTATTTTTTGTTTTATATTTCATTGTTTTCAGCTCTTGTTGTCATAATTTTCTTTCTTCTAGAGGCTGTGAAGTTAGATTGTTGTCCTTTTTTTGTTTGATGGAAGTGTTGAGTTAGAGCATTAATTTTTCTTCTTCCTTCATTTTTTTATGAACTGCCCCCTGAAGACTGCCTTAGCTGCATCCCAGGGGTTTTGGTATGCTGTATTTTCATAATCATTTGTTTCGAGGAACTTTTTAATTTCATTCTTTATTTCTTTTATAACCCAATTATGTTGTAGCAGTGTGATACTTAGCTACCAGATAGGTGGTTTTATAAGCTTTATTCTCTTGTGTTTAATTTCTAGTTTTGTGACATTGTGTTCTTAGAAGATACTTTATATTATTTCAGTATTTTTAAATTTGTTTTGCCTTTTTTTGGTGTCCTAATATGTGATCAGTTGTGGAGAATATAGCATGTGCACTTGAGAATAAAGTGAATTGATTTTTAATTGGGTGCAGTACCCAGAATACATCTACGAGGTCAAGTTGGCTGATTATGTATTTTAGATCTTTTGAATCTTTGTTAAGTTTCTTTTGTCTTGACCTTTGCTTAGATAAGAGTGGTGTGTTAAAGTCTCCTATCACAATTGTGGTCTTGTCCATTTCTTTCTTCAATTCTTTTAACCATTTTTTTTTGTCTTTTGCAAGTTTGTCATGTGGTATGTAGATGTTGACAAAGGTTATGTCTTCTTGAACTGTTATACCTTAGATCATTATATAGTGTCCTTTCTTTTATGATAGTTTTCATTTTGCAGTCTTTTTTTACCAGAGCTTAGTATTGCCACTCATGCACTTTTGAGGATGTCATTTGCTAAGAATATATTTTTCATCCAAACAAGTACAAGTGTCTCAACCTAGCAGTTGTCCCTTAAATGTTGTTTATTGTTTTTCTCTCCTGGTCTTGTAGCTGCCAAGATGTTACAATTCATGGTTATTAACTAAAAAGGTTATATCGCATGACAGTGGAATTAGCAGGCCTTCCTTGTGTATGGATAGTATCCTAATGCTGACAACATTGTATTTCAGAATGAATCTTGAAATCATCTTTTTTACTATGAATGCCACCCAATTTTCCTCACTTTTCATTTCCAGTGTAGTAATGGCCCATGTCAATCCACCTCAGCTTGCTAATGCCTGTTGTTGTTGCCATTATGTGTCATCGGATTGCTTGCAACTCATCGTGAACCTATGCATAACAGTTTATACCTTTTCAAACCCTGCTGTATCCTGTGCCAATCTTATTGTCTCTGACACACCTTCCCCTATTACTCCAGTCACTGAATCAATCCATCTCATTGAGAGTCTTCCTCTCTTGCACTGCCCTTCCACCCTACTGAACATGACATCCCTCTCCAAGGACTGGTCCCTTCTTGCAACATGTCCAAAGTATGTCAGATGAAACTTCAGAATCCTTGCCTCCAAGGAGCAGCTTGGTCTCACCCCTGCTAAGATGAACTTGTTTGTTCTCCTAGCAGTCCATGGTACATTCAGTACTCTTCTCCAACACCACAGCTCACAGCTCAAAGGCATCAATTTTCTTTCTGTCATCCCTAGTCATTGTCCATATTT